CAACTTCAAAAACTACCTTAGTGGTCATTCTTAAGTGGGCACCTTGCATAACAATGAATGGTTTTAGTTAAATAACACCACTCAAAACAGCATCACAAATACTGGTTTGTGCAAATTGAGTACCTTAGAAGTACCCTCTGTTTGATATGCTCGTTCGCTTTTGGGTTATATAAGATAGGTACACGGTTAAATAGTACAGTTTCGGTAGAAACCTCGAATTTATTATTATTATAAACTTTATTGTACAATACAAATAATTTAATACAATTAGTATAAAATCTTAAAAGCTAGGTACAATAAGGCGGTCTTATCGCTAAAAAGCGATCTCTTCCAGACAACTTTAGGACGAGGAAAATTAACTAATGAATAGTGGGAGGTGGTGTGCTCAATAAACTTACTTAATACCAAAATAGACTTAAATAGACTAAAATATAATAATCATACATAAACATAAATAAAATATATAAATAACATAAATAAATACACGAGAGAACAATTGATTCCGAATATTGCCAATTAATGCTCCTTGGTTTATTTTTATTCATACATTAAATAAGAAATTAGAGTTGCCTTAAAATATACCGTAAATTCATACCATTGTGATATTCTTAACTTAATGTTAATATCGATTTATCGCTATTAAATATACCGACGACGTATATCGATAATTTTTAAAAAGAATATTGATATTAGTACTTCCTTAATATATTTTATAAAGTCCTAACATAATATCGCATTACAATAAACACACTAGACAGTAGGAGCAAGATAATACAGTAAGTTATAGTAGGTGAAATTGAATACCTGTTACGCCTATTCCTGTTAATTAACACTTACAGTGACAAATACCTGTTATAAAATAATATTTCATACTATGTTGTGACAATTTGTGTAACTGCTACAATAGAGTAACATACTGTAACAGCTGTTTGCGTTATTTGTTTATGTTTATACTTCGGATTAGAGACGAGGTGTATATACTGGAACAGGTATAAGTACCCAGTATGAACGTACCAGTATGCAGACCGGGTATGTACGGCAGAGGCCCGTTCCTGTAATCTCAAAGATATCTGATAAAATTACGTGTAGGGATGAGGCGTATATACTGGCACAGGTATAAATACCCAGTATGAACATAACAGTACGTACATCGGGTATGTACGGCAGAGACCCGTTCCATACCCGATAGGTATGGCCGCCTCGTCCGACGGTGGCGGTATATACGCTCGCGACAACCCGCCCGCACACCGGGTATGACGTATGTACGGCAGAGACCCGTTCCATACCCGCACCGATAGGTATGGCTATGGCCCCGCCTCGTCCGTCGGTGGTGGTATATACGCTCGCGACAACCCGCCGGCCGAATAGGTACGAAGTTCCCCGAACGCTTACGGCGGCTCTTCCCGATCAAGCCCGAATTGAAACGTATGATTTAGGCATTTTATACCAAATAATTCCTTGAGATACATTTATTCTTTGTTTCTATGACCATAAGTTAAATAAATAATTGCGTAATAAGGTTACAGTAAACAGTAAAATTTATTTTGAATTACTTTTTTTTTGATAATAGGGTTCTTTACGTTAGTAAAGATGGAGCTTATTTTAGACTGATTAAATCTCAATTTAAAAAAAACTGATTGCTAAAAAAAAACATTTAAATGTTACAATTCCAACCAAAGGTTCAATCTGTTTGATTCGACCGCGTCTCCAAAAGAAGGCCTGAACATAACTAATACCTATAGGTATTTTGATACTGGGTTTTAGCACCGGGTATACGGCGATACCCGTACCTTTGAGGCCGGGTATAGAATGTTGCAGGTATATCTCATGCCTAATTACGTGTTACGATATCTACGCCTCACCCTAGGGATGCCGAAAGTTGAAAAAATATCGATATGTCGATATTTATAAAAATATTGATATCGGCCCTGACATATCGAAAAAAAAATATTGATATATCGGTCATATTTTCAGTTTTAAAAAAATAATGTATTTAGTTCAGTCTGATTCAGTAATAAGTAATAGTAATTTTTAGACCAAATTCACATTATTTAAATGAATGAGAAATTTCAATCAAACGTTAATTATTTATTAATTTTAATCAAATTTCTTTTATTAATCTAAATTTCTCGGTATGTTATTTATCAAGACCTTCATTGGAAAAAAAAATAAACAGCTTATTTAGTACGATAAATCAATTTTTTTAGCCCTGAATCGAATCAAAAAATAACTAATTAAAAAAACATGTAATTTTGTAAAATAACGTAAAGATGAAAAAAAAATTGTTTAAAACGAAGTATAATGGGTTAAAAAGAAACCCGCAGACTTGTCCCAAAAGACAGGCCTAGATCAACAAAATTTAGTAATAGTAGTTTGATTGACATGAAAATACTGAACTTATGTTTTTTCATTTATATCTATATAAAATTATTTTTTTTATGAAAATTCGATATTATATTATGTGACATTTAATTATTGAGAATTTGATTGTAATTAAATTTTTGTTCACTTTATTTATATATTAAAGAGCCGTGATAGCTCAGTGTCCGGTCGCTCGCCTTTAATTCAATATACTCGAGAAACCTGAGTTCGATCCCCGGTGCCGGCACCACTGAAGTTTTTAACTTTAAGTGCTGACTTATCATGTGCTCCGCGGTGAAGAAAAACATCGTGAGGAACCTGCATATTTTCGAAATAATAACAAAAAATATATTTCGAAGATATGTGAAGTCCGCCAATCCGCAGTGGGGCCGCGTGGTGGACTATGCCCTGATACCCTCTGAATAGAGGAGGCCTTTGCCCAGCAGTGGGACATGTATAGGCTGTTACTTTACTTTTTATTTACATATAAAAACTAAAGTAACTTTAGTTGATGCCATTAATATTTTGAATGCTATTTATAAATTAACATAATATGTAGTTCAATATTAATGATTTGTAACACCTCTATACCATGTTGTACCTAAGATATGGATAGTACAAAGTACGAAGCATCAAATCCATACTAATATTATAAATGCGAAAGTAACTCTGTTTGTCTGTCTCACTTTCACGCCAAAGTTACTGAACCGATTTAAATGAAATTTGGAACACAGATAGTCTAGAGCCTGAGAAATATTATTTTTTTAAAGAAAGATATTTATTTAAGGGCTTCAAAGCGAGCGCAGTCGCGGGCGAAAAGCTAGTTGTGTTATAAATACCATAATTATAGTACAAAATGCAACTCGATAATTTAAATACTTTTAAAGTTAAAATATTAAATTATTAACACAGTAGTTAAGACAATTGATTTGGCACATAGAATAACTTACTTATTTTATTTTTATTTTTGTTGTTTATAATACTTTTTTACTTTGTTACTCTAGAGAATAGAAATAAATCCCGAAAAGAGTGTGGCGATTCACTTCACACGTACACACAAGTACTTACCCGTCACATCTTTATAATGGCCCTCGTCAATGCAGAAAGTTGGGGCAAATATCCCTATATGGCCAACCGCTCCCCTGGGAGAAAAAGGTCAAATACTTAGGAGTCACTTTCGACTCGCGTATGTCATTTACTACGCACATTAATAACGTTCGCAATAGAGCCGCGTTCGTCTCCGGCCGGCTACACAATTTAACTAACGCTAAAAGTAAAATGCCCTTAAGGCACAAATTATTATTATATAAGACCTGCGTACGACCTATTATGTCTTACGCATGTATGACCTTCGTCCACACGCACCCTACTCGCTTGTACAAGTTGCAAATAGTACAAAATAAGTTCATCCGCCGCGCAACCGGTGCGCAGTGGTATCAACGCAACGTCGACCTGCACAGCGATTGCAGACTCCCGATGATTCGCGAATATTTTAAAGACCTGACCAAACGGTTCTTCGATAGAGCCGAACATCATCCCAACCCTCTGGTGGTAAGCGCAGCAAATTACCAACCCGACACAAACGCGAACGTCAACAAGCGTCGCCCGCGAAACGTCCTCATCGACCCGGTCGAGGAAGGGGACTTAGATACGTCGGACCCATCGCCGGGGATTCCGCCGGATAACACTATACCCACAGTTAGTGCAACAACAAACACACTAGTTCGCCCTCGCCTTCGAGCACGGCGAGACCAACACAACGCGTTTCGGGGCGGTTCTCACCGCCCCCAGCCACCGATTAAGTAATTGCACAGTCGACGGCCATCGGGGTTTCGGTCAGAACCGCGACATCGATGGCCCTTAGATGACACACCATAGTTTAACGCACGCATGAGCACATGCGTGGCCCTACCCACAGCGGAGCTTTAATAGTCTCGGGACTGAAAGCAAAAACATCAGTTAATACAAGATACAAGATTAGACTACCATGAGTACGACCAATACTCTCGTTGAATGCTGTGACTAATTGAGATTACGTGTAAATTGTTGCCATATAATTTTTTTTTTATGTAACTCTGTGTACATGTAATTTTGTTGGTAATCTAAAATAAATAAATAAACTCTGCATCCACGACAATACTAGAAATAGACCACAGTTTTTTCCGTTCATTTTTGTCTTTTACAGCTTTGAATCAGTTTGAATAACAATATCGTTTTTGATACGATTTCGATATTCAATTTTTTATATCGATATATCGATATTTTTTCGGCATCCCTCCTACCCAGCAGTAAAAAGAGTTTCGACTACCCGACAAGAATCAAAAAACTTTTTCTTAAAATTTCTCCTAAAAAACTAACTTGTTTGCCGAACGTAAGAGTTATATAGTGAAAAAAAAATGTTCGAAATGGTTCTTGTCCTTTTACTACATTGTTAACGATTAACAAGAATGGCTCACCCATAGATAAATAAATATTTCAATGCGTGTCCATAGTGTCTTCGAGTATCAAAACATTCATTTATTACCATCAAAGTGAATGTATTTTACATAAAAATGAATAAAACCACCCAACAGCGTTCCAATAGATCTTTATTAAAAGTGAGAGACGGTATCAACTTGAATAATGACAATATTTTAGCGATGAAGGTAGGCACTACTATTTGGCTAAAGAATCGTAGGTAGATGTGAATTTTGGATGACGGTAGAATACTTATTGTCGATTATGGGACAAAATAAATGCTTAGTTTGAAGTAGCATGATTGCGACTCAAAAGTTACACAAAAATACTAATAAATAATTTTAATTGCATAGCATGTTTGCGATACAAACAAGAATTAGTACCGTAAATGATTTTTACGTCTTACCATATGGAATGTTACGTGGGTAGTTAATAGTTCAACTATTATTTAATCCAAACCATTATGTATCGGAATTTATTTGATAAACGGGCTACGATGAAATCGGCTGTATATTCTATAAGAAATGAAATTGAAAAATGCAGCATATATTTAAAATATAGCAACGTTTAAAAATTGTGAGTTAATAATTTAACGCAATATCATTAGGATTTTCGTTGAATTTAGTAATTTGAGTATTTACTTATCTTTTACATATTTTGTAAACAGAATTGTTTAAAAGTTTGTTTTGTAAACTGTTTGCCTAACATAAATGATGTTAACAGTATTAACTTGTTAGTGTTTAAACTAATTTCCATTGTGTATATATCAATACAGCTAAATAAAATTGGAGTGTCTGTTTGTAACATTAAAATAACCGCTTTTTACTAAATGCATATGGATGTATACAGGGTACATATACCATAATAACATTTTTTACAATTTTTGTCTGTCTGTCTGTCTGTTTGTTCTGGCTAATCTCTCAAACGGCTGGACTGATTAGGACGGGACTTTCACTGACTAATAGCTGATGTAATAAGGAGTAACTTAGGCTACTTTTATTTTAGATTTTTTTTTAATTTTAAATTCCACATGGACAAAGTAACGGGCACAGCTAGTTTACAATAATAAACCTAACATGACATTAACCTTACTTGAACATACTGCCAAATTTAATCCATTGCAAATAATATATTACAGGGAAATCCACAGAATAACATTCAAGATGTTAAGGATAATATGGGGCATATTCAGAAAGATTCTTCCCCAATACAGTTCTCCGTTAGAGTTGAGGTGGAGGAGTGCAATGGGGAAGGTACAAGCCGAAATGATTTCTCCATTCTACGATCCATTCCCAATTCTGTTGCAGGACAGAAAAATGGAAAAGCTGCCTTAGAAAATCATACTGAACATACAGGTTTTGTATTTTCTTAACCCTTACTTCATTACCTCTATTATTGGTCCATTATCTGTTTGTCTGAGCGCTTGTGCTTGCTAATCTCAGAAACGGCTTAAACAATTTGCGTGCAACTTTTACTTATGCATTGTAGTAAGCTTCACTTAACATTTAGTGTTAGTTTTATTTAAATCAGTTCATAAATATAAAAGTTATATCAATTTTAAAACCCACTTTGAATTAAAATATGTAGAAAAAGTACAAAAAGATTGTCACCGCTGTGGGATAGATATATTTGTGTGATAAAACATTATATAATAGCTACAGTTGAATTAGATGAAACTATAGTTAACTATATAAGTTTATATAAAGTAAAAAAAAACCGCCCAAGTGCGAGTCAGACTCGCGCACGTAGGGTTCCATAACATTATCTATAAAAACAACCCAGCAGCACTGGGTACAATAAAATGCTATAACTTTGCGAAAACATGAAATATACAATTTTTTTTGCACTGTTAGAATGACCTTGAACCCAACTTCCTTAGGTTCAATTTGCCCCTGGATCTGCTGAACAGGAAATGAGCCAGGAACTAGGGAAAGCGGCAGTACGATATGGACTTGAACTGTACTAAAAAGTATTTTTAGTAGTGATGGAACGGGCAATAATAGGATTTTTATACTAATATAATAAGACTGAAGAGTTTGTTTGTATTCCGATATGAAAAAATCGTTTATTGAGGAAGGCTATAGGCTAGAAGCTTTTTAAGCATGATATAAAATGTAGTACATGCAGCCGCAGCCGCCGAGCGAATAGCTAGAAATAACTAAAGACCAATTAATTCACAGCAATAAAGTAAAGAGCTTAAGTTATTAATGTATAATGATTCAGATTTTTACTTACTGAGGTTTGTTTTTGTGCTTTGTTAAGGGATTATTTTAATGGTGGCCAAGCAAAAATCATAGTTATGGTGATCAAGGTTAAAATCAAATACAACTTTTAAATGTTAAAAAGACACTTTATGTAGGGTCACAGGTACAGTTATCTAATTTGATGTTATTAATCTACATATTAATAATACTACATATTATACAATTAATAATAATACATATTATAAAGTCTGTGAATTGTTTGATTTTAAACAATTGGAACCTTCAATGCAATTAAAGAGAAAATGTTGTCTTCTATGTCACTGTGTTAGTCTTTAAAACACTGTTAAAGTCTTTACAACTGCTTCCTTTAGATTGTTCCATATGTATCTTGTTGAATAATCACTTTTAAAAACAATAATGTTCTTCTCAGTTGCTACTGGTAGTGTTGGCTTATTGGTAAATGATCTTACTTTCATGTTATTTAGTGCTCAGGTAATGTTTTAAAGGATTTATTATTAATAGTCCATAGTTCACTACAAGTAACTCTAGTAAATAATAAAAAAAAAACGATTACTACATGGCATCTTCAGTACATTTATTTTAAAATTATTTACATTAATCAAGATGCTTAAGTTATTAACTGATAAAACATTAAGTTAAGAAGGACCAAATTTTATTCATAAATCTATGGAGATTTTTAAGTTATAATTGTATATGTTATTGAGATTCTTCTGTTTTTAAATTTTGAACGTTTAAGCCTTAGGAAATGTTCTTGATTTACCATCAAGTGAAAACACGGTTCACTTAATATCAACATGGCGATAAATTTTGCTTTTTTCTTTGAGAGTAACATGGCTATCTCCCTAATATTCTTCTATGTATTTAACACTGGTCTTTAAAATACTTTTAAATTGTTTGGAGCTGTCTTTGCTTTGGGAGGATTACTCAATATGTTTCATTCACTTCTGAGCAAGTGAAAATAAGTACATATTTTCAATTCCCTCATAGTGGAACTTAGTTTGCCCAAGTGTAATACATTTAAAAGCGATAGCCTCAACATGGAGCTATAATGGCTAAAATATGTTGGTTTTCCTTCCGTACTAAGTACATGACTACTTATAAAACTAAATAATGAAAATTTACTTGTTTCAGACAATATTCCATTCCTCTTGGGTAATAAAACTGAAAAGAACTTCATAATACGTAATATTTTACGCCAGAAAAAAAGGAGAAGAAACTTCTTTACAATGGTCAACCAGTACATTGTGACAACTGAAACTATTATACAAGCAGCAGACTTGCAATCTAAAGAGAATAAGAAAGACTTTGAGAAATATATTGATGCAGCTGTGAGGAATTTACTTGGTCAATTTAATAAAGTAAGTTTGACTTATTATGATCATGAAGTGAACAAAGTTATGAGGACTTGGATGGATTGGTATGTCATATGCCCAAGGTTCAGGAGCATACCTTTATTGTATAAATGTTATGTATGCTACAGAGGCTGGTGGAGATTACATCCATTCAAGGAGCACTTGAAGGAACATAATGACTCCAGTATTAAACTTAAAACGGAACCATACGAGCATGAATTCTTTGTGGTGGCGTGCAACAAAAAAACTCATAAGGCGCTTAAAGTGCACCTGGACTCAAGCTGTTGGAGATGTGGTAGAGATGGCAAAGTACACCAAACTACCAATAAGATATTGAAGTACGAATGCGAGGGCTGCAAACAGCAAATGGTGACGTGCACCAAGCTTAAAGAGCACGAAAGCATATGCAAGGAGTATCTCAAAATAAACTATTTAAAGTACAAAGTTAACGCCAGCGAAAATACGACGTGCCAACTTTGCTGCGTGCACTATGCGACTAAAACGCTACTGGACACCCATATGGTAGATTGTCATTCCGTCCGTACAGACGAGCCGGCTGTGACGTCGACAAAGGTGTGCAAACTCTGCAACCACAGGTACCACCACCATAAATTCCACGATTGCCCCGAGAAGCACAAGGGTTTCAAGTGCGACTTCTGCTGCAGAAAATTCGCATCGCTAATATTTCTGCATATGCATCTGCAGTTTACCAAAGGCAAAATTCAGTGCACTGTCTGCAGGGCACGGATGGTGAAATGCCAGGCCGCCGAGCATTATTTGCAGCATACAAATAATTATGTCCCTGCATATTGGTGCGGTAGTTGCGATAACAACTTACTGTTCACAGACGAAACTATCTTTCGCGATCATATGAACCATTTTAACACAACAGTAGCGAAAAGAAGGTGGGGGATTAAGGTAAATTATATTTATTTAAACGTAACGTGTTTACATAATTTCAAATCTTCATTCTCCCAACTATTAAGTTATTATGGTTCATTCAGGTTTTAATTGCAATAATCCAATAACTTACTGTGACTAACTTACTAACTGTAACTTGTTTAACTTGCTGTGAAATATGTATGAAAGAAAGAAAGAAAAATGTTTATTGATTAGAACATAGTACAATATATATCTTAAAAGTTGTATCATCCCTTATGTTCTACCATTACTGTTGTGTTTATAAATCTGAGAATCTGATCCCTTTACTGCTGAGCGACAAATTAGTTGTTAAAATAGCAACTAACAGTTCTACTAGCATGTAAAATGGGATGGGGTATAAATGTTCTTGAGTGGCAACCACGAACCGGACGATGTGGAGTTGGAAGGCCTCCGAAGACCGGCTACATCGTCTGATTATCAGAGAAACGGTGAATGTGAGACATATAATGATGTTGTAAAATAGGTTTTCCATTACTAATTAAGACAAAATATCTGATGAAGTATTCATCATACTGCCCTTAAACTGCTGACGTGGGACCCACAAACACACAAAAGCCTACTTCCACTTCCTTTATGGTATCCTCGGATGGGCCAGACTTTTAGTGCAAAAGCACTGTACTGGCCCTACCCCAGGAAAAATATGTATAATTAATAATTGTCATTGTTTTTCTCATTATTACCTTTACAAAATGTTCCCTAGTGGCAGTTAAAATATGTCTTAAATCGTTCCAAGATTATTTGACAATAAAAGTCGAAACGTTTCTTCATTTTTGTTTATTTTTTTCAGTTGCTGCTGCCAAGAAAGTGCGTAACCGGTGAGGTAGTGAAATCTGCCAAAGTGTTTGAATTACCTGGTGAGTTTCATAATTTCTGAATTGATTAAAAGATATTTTCAATTATTTAAATGCAACTTTTTGCCGCTCTATTGGGACCAGAGTTACAGGCAATGGACTCGATCCCGGTATCAAACATTTTCCAACCTCGAATAGTTCCTATAGATGCACAGGGGTTGCATGTCCCACTTCCGAAAATATTGATTCAAATAACGAAAACATTTACTTTAAATTCACAGACAAGAAGCTCCACAACTTTTTGTGGGGAATAGAGGACGCTGAGTATGATTTGACTGGTGAGTCCGTCACAAATCAGAACATTGTTGATGATGCCGAAAAAAACGTCATCGTCCTTGACGACGATGACAAAAATGACGTTCAACGTTCAAATGCAACGCGAGAATCCATAAAGATTGAAAATCAGGATCCCGACATCTGGGCAATGCAAGCGCAGCTAGATGCCGAGATAATGAGAGACATAGAGATGGAGGCGGAGATTTCAAAAGTTTTCACGGCCTCGAAAAGCTATCTCAAGTTCATGGAGAAGGAGTCAATGATCGCAGAGTCCCAAAGGACAGAGTCAATGGAGGAGGAGGAAGATCTGTATTCAAACGACCTCATCATCATCGACAATCAAGAGGAAGACGTTACAGTAATAACGGACTCTGAATGTGAAGAAACGATTGAAGATAATGCAACCGAATATCGAAATGCGAAATCAACAGTGATTGTTAGTGATTCAGTCGACAGTTGCACACAAGAAGTGCTAGATATAAGCGACGCTGACGACAATGGGGAACATTTAGATATTGATATGAAGGAAGAAATAGATTTAGAGCCCGAAGAAGAGGAGAATAGTGTGAGGCGTTCCAGCGAGTTCGAAGAGGACTCGGATTGGAATGTAGATACTCTCGTTAAGGAGGAAACGGAAGATAACGTCGGCGCAGCAGTCGAGACGAAACCGGACCTCTCGCTCTCGCATAGCGACGAGGCGGCCGTAAAACACGAGGGTATGGCGCAAGAGGATTTCGCGGGGATGTTGAACGCTATCGCCGACGTGAAGAGGGAAATCGACTCGGAGGGCTGCGAGAGGGAGGAGAAACTGGCGTGGAGGCCCCCCACGGCGGCTTCCGACAGCCGTGTGTACGAGTGCAAGGGGTGCTTCTTCATCGGCGAGCTGAGACACTACGTCGTCCACGTCGTCAGCACCTGCAAGGGAACCGTCTTCGGGTGCGGCGGCTGCGAGGAGAGGTTCCCGGACGCGAGGCGCTACCTGGACCACATGGTCGACCACGGCTACGAGCACCTCCAGTGTCCGGAGTGCAAGACTGTGCAGAGGTTCGCCTCGACACTGTACTCCCACGTCACGTCGCACATCCGCGGCATGTTCCTGCGGTTCAGGTCAATACACGGCACGAGGAAGTCGCCGCAGGACAGCCTGCTCTACCGCTGCAGGAAGTGCAAGGAGATGGTGGAGATCGAGCAGTTCTTCGGCCACTGGGAGAGGCATTTGCACGACCGGCCCGGAGACGGCCCGAAGACCGAAGAGTGCGCATCGGAAGAAGACGGCGACACCGACAACTCTCACATCGCGGCCATAACCCCCGAACAAGTTAAGCAACTGACAGGTGAGTGAGTGTACCTTAATTTATGCTCGAAATTGCGAAGTCTTTTAAATTTTTGGCCTTTGAGTGTGATAATAATGTAACCTCCGAGTTAAACTGCAGTAGGGCCACGCAAAAGTGACCGGCGTGAAGTGGTGGTAGTGTTATACTTCTGCGTTTCGTCTGGTGAGTGAGGTAACCAGGACCAATTTTATTAAAAGGTGAGCAATGTATCTGCAACCCTGTGTGTGTGGTAATTTTCAATGCCTTTGCCACCTTCTCACTTAAAAAAGTATCTCATGATATAATATCTTTCTATTGATGTAATGTACTTGAAAACACAATGACTTGATTCTTTAAAGATTAATGGTTTTATGTTTTTTGGTCAGGCAAAAAGTACAGGACCTTTGTTCGAAACAATAATACACTTCACTCGCGCTCTTCTATGGGCTGAGATCTTCCCAAGATAAGCCCATGTAAAAATATCAATGTAAAAAATTTCTTTACTGTAACTTAAAATAATAATAGTAATAATATGTACAAACAAAATGTAATGCCATAGCTATTTAGCTATTTGTAAAATGAATCAAAATCAACAAACAACAAATTCATGTTTTGAAGTTATTATTTCTTTATTCAATAAAATAAGTTTTCTTATCATAACCTTTTAAAAGATCCTCATACAATTGATAAAGTAAAATTAATCATAAACTAAGTAAAATCATTCTTAATATGTGAATATTCCCTTTGACAGCACACCCCTAAGGTAAATGTTGAAAATCAATTCCAGATCTACTCCTGATCAATGAGAAGAAGGTGCTGGACTGCATTGTGTGCCCCAAGAAGTTCTCCAGGACAAGCGATTGCAAGAGGCACCTCATCGAGCATCTGCTCATCCAGGCGTTCCTGAACAAGCCGAAGACTGATTACGAGCTGCGCTGCAGCTTCTGCCCACTGCAGGTGCCCACGACGGAATGGCGTAGTGGATAGTGTACCTTCCTCCTGCGTCAGAGCGTGTGGGTTCGATCCCCACTACTGGAAAAATATTGTGTGATAAACATTGTGTTTACTGGTGTCTGGGTGTTTTTCTACGTATAATATGTATTTATTTACAAAAGAAAAGTATGTTTATCAGTTATCTAGTACCCATAGTACAAGAATTGTTTAGTTTGGGACTAGAGAACGTTGTGTATTAGTGTTAATTTAATATAATTTAGTAGTGTTAATTTATTAATCACAAAAAATATACAAAGAACAGGCTTACATTTCTCGCCAAACTTTTACGTTTGATGGCGAGACACGCTCGATTTTCAACATAATATCCTCGAAGTATACTACCAATTTACTTATTATATTAACTAAACACATTTATTAAGTAGTTCTTTACACTATAATTATAACCAACACAGGCCTATGTCCCGTGTCCTAATATGTTTATTTATTTATAGTTCGCAACAGATCAGGAGTGGAAGGAGCACATGAGGGAGCACGCTTCCCTGCCCGCATACAAGTGCGACCTCTGCTCGAAGTCTTTCAGCGACTCGAGCAATTACTCGAAGCACAGGAAGGTCCACAACCTGTTCTCGTTCATATGCGACCACTGCGGCGGCAAGTATCGCGCGAAACGCAGCCTCATTGAGCACCTGAAGGTGTGTTTGTCTGGATTTTTTGTTTTCACTACCTTTACCCGCTCTGCAATCGCCCGGCCAATTCTACAAACCGTATTTGGCCGTGGACTATGTGAAGAGATGGCAAACGAGCTGGCGTGTCACCTGATGTTAAGTGATAACCGCCGCCCTAATGGACGGGTGTTGCAAATGTCACTACATTGCAACACCTGTAGGGCTGCAGACTGTTTGTTGATACCACAACACACATCTTTAGTGGAACTTTAAACATCTTTTGCCCTACCACAACACACTTCTTTAGTGGAACTTTAAACATCTACATAAAACGTTTAGTTAGTCCTGCTGTCTGTCTGTCCCTATATATGCTTAGATCTTTAAAACTGCGCAACGGATCTTGATGCGGTTTTTTTTACTAGATTAGAGTGATTCAGGAGGAAGAATATGTATAATACGTATATAATATAGTAGAGTATATAAAGTATCAGCATTGAACCCGGGCTAAGCCGGGGCGGGTCACTAGTGAATACTAATATTATTAATTCGTTTTTGACTACTGAAATTATTAATTAAAATACTTTGTACATATATTATATTCTTGGATGATTATGACAGCCAGAGAATAAGTCAATGTAAATAAAAGATTAGAATACCTAAAAATTCATCTTTCAGAAATACTTATTTTTTTGTGTTCATTATTCAATAATTCTGTGGGTCGCACAAATAGTTGTCCCGTGTGGGAATCGAACCCACGACCAACGATGCCGACGCCAATACCTTGGCAACTGCAGCACGGAGTCATCTTTTAATTCAATACATACCAAAGCAACCGGAGTCCAATCCTTAGATAAGAAATTGTTAGTTTTAAGTGAGCAAGTGATTTATGACATGGTAAAGGGAAACATTGTGAGGAAACCTGCATACATACAACAAATTATAAAAAAAGTTTTTTTTCGAAGATATGTGAAATCCTCTAAATCGCAGTGGGGTCACGTGATATATATATAGGATGTTACTTTACTTTCTTATGAAAATTGACAAGATGGAATCATTTTAAAAAACAAAAACAAATATAGACTCTTAGTGATTTGCGGTCGTAACGGAAGACGATACTATTTATATTCTGCTATGGTGACGTAACTGAAAGCCTCATCCTTTCCTCTTACAGCTGCACGAGAAAGAACCGCTGCTGTGCAAGGTCTGCGGCATGCCGTTCGTAACCCAGTCGAGGCTGAGGAAGCACCAACGGTCCAGGCACAAGGTCGCACCGCACTCCTACCCCTGCATGATATGCAGGAGGAGGTTTCGCAGCGTGAAGCAGAAGTGGGAGCACATGTGGCTGAAGCACCAGAAGCGGCAGTACAAGGCGGACTGCCCCATATGCAATAAGGCGTTCAGGAGACGCCAGGACGTGAAGAGTCATCTGAAGGTCGTGCACAAAGTTAAATACAGGGGCAGCTTTGAGCATGAGTGAAGGGGGATTATTGACACGGCACGCAGAGGCAAATCGCCTTTTTTATGTGGCCTTTTTAAGCGCTTAATGTCAGCCAAATATGGAATTAGTTTTAGACCATGATAGGAGATCTGGAAATGCCCGCAGTAAAATATGTCAAGAAAGAGATTTCTTCTTTCAACGTTGGTTTATTCCAAGTTAGTGTGAATGTCAGAACACACCCATAAATTATCAATAAATTCCACCACCAAGAGGCAAGAAACTATGCGGGTTTGCTTTTATAGTATAAATATCATTCATTTTTTTATCTTTCGACTAGTTGTAATCAATCTCTGCTCGCTAGTTGTAAACTGTCTCTGAATCGCAATTATGGTCATGATTAATATAATAAATTAATAATAAACTGCTGCCAGGTGATAGATAAAGCTTGGTGGAAGACAATATTTGGCAATCGGCCATTGCCTTAGATCAGTTAAACCTTGATTAATTTGACGCAATTCCTCTTTAGGGTACTTGGAATATAACTTATGTCAGACTAGATGTGCCCGCGACTTCGTCCGCGCGGAACTTAAAATAAATTAAATTTGTAAAATAAAAGTAGCAGCCTAAGTTACTCCTTAATACATCAGCTATCTGCCAGTCAAAAGCAGTCCAGCCGTTTCAGAGATTAGCCGAAACAAACAGACAAAAAAATGTTATTTTGGTATATGTATTGTGTATATTCCATATGCTTTTTAGTAAAAAGGGTTTATTTTGATATTAAAAGCAGACACTGCAATTTTAATTATCTGTATAGATTCCATAAAAAAAAAATTAAAAGAAATGAGTGTCGTGGAACACTAGGAACGAAAGTTCCTTTCGTAGTATATTATTATTGTTAAGCATATTATGTATCCAATAACTTATATAAAAATTTTATCCCGTGTTCCAGTACTGTTTGTTTGTGAAAAATCACTAAATGCAAATGATAACGTTTTATTTAAATAACATGCAATTGTAGGTAAATAGTCAAAATTTGTTATTGATGGCCATGGTATTATCGTGAGGGAAAGATTCTTACACTTTCTTTCGCGTAGCCCTCATCCGTCAAATTCGTACCGTGCGGTAGGGAAATCGGTCCGGATATATAAGGACTTAATTAACTTTCTCAGGTTTTTTTGCATGGTTTACACTTATCAAAGGCAGTCTCGATAATTTGTTTGTTTGTTTTTTTTTTAACTTCATAAAAGCACCTGGCATTCAAGCCTATACACTTCCTCCCGATAGATTTTCTAGATATTCTGCATGTTCCAGTGTGTTCCAGTTAAAGTATATATGAACTTTAATGGTGAAAATTGATTAATATTTTATTTTATTGATATTATAGGATAATAATAAAATTTAAGCATTGTGTGATTTTTATTCTGAATCTGTAATGCATCATTATTTATGAATTGAATTTATACATTTAAAACACATTTTTACATTTTATTTCACATGAAACAATATTAGGCTTTTATTTATTAATATTTCATCAGAATTATAAATACACATTAAAACAGATATATAAAGCGTGTCGTTACCATCGCGACAATAAATGAACACACATATAGGGGATAACTTTTTAAAGTTGTATTAAACATTTAAATTCTTTAAACATCAATATTTACAGAGTTATTAAATTTTGCAAAACAAAGAATTTTAGAACATCCTTACCTATAAAAGCGTAACGTAAAGTTCATTTGTAAAGGTCACAAAGCATATGAATGGGTTGAATGAATTTAAAAGAGACAAAACATACTGTTAGAAGGAGAGGCTTGTAATACGACGCTGTGGCGCGAGTTGTATAGGATGTTACAAAATTTGTTTCTTTTTTATTTAATTAGTTTGTTTGAAAAAAAATTTTTTTTTATTATGGATTTTGTTTAAAGTTAATATTTTTTTATGATTATTGGCAAGTACAGTTAGTCGTGTGTTCATTTATTGTCGCGATGGTAACGACACGCTGTATTTAATGTATAAATTTGCATATGAGTAGGTAGATAAATATTAAACAATTGTGTTTGTACATGCTAAAGATGAATAAAGTATTATGGTCGAATATGTTTTTTTAATAAATTACATTTTAATCCTTACTAATATTATAAACGCCAAAGTTTGTATGTATGGATGGATGTTTGTTACTCTTTCATGCAAATACTACTGAATGGATTTTAATGAAACTTTGCAATAATATAGCTTTTACATCAGAATAAGACATAGGCTATAATTTATATACATCTTTTATGTATACGTTTGTCTTTCTGTCTGAAAGTTACGCCTTCAGCCTATTCTACGCAGACGTAATCGCGGGCAGCAGCTAGTGCAACGATAATTCGAACGAGAGATGTCGCCATTGCTTTTTAGAAATTTAAATTGTAAAACGATGTTCGTAATTGTTTGTATGCTGGAAATAGATATAACAATGGATGCGCCAAGCATTGCTACAAATGCTATAAAAAAAAAGTAGATAAAAGACATTAAGATTTTCGTGCTTTTTTTTTTTATTATAGTGGCTCCATCAAGGATAGCTTGATGATTCTGCCAATGTCAAGGTTGAATAAAACAAACTGTTATTGATAAAATTTCCTAAAGTGATGACTTTTGTACGGTACATCATACTTTATTGGTTGAGATACCTGAATAGAAACTAAATTTGTTAGAAGATGAATAAAAATAAATAAGAATGTCTAAAATAATAAAGGCGACACAAACAATTACAAGGAGGAGAAATGGCAACGTTAAAGCTTTATATTATTAATACAAAGGAATTTATGTAGTACTTTGACGACGTGGAAGTCATTAAGAGTTAGAAGGAATGGGATATTAACAGGTCTGGGGAACTTTGAGGGAAGAATATCGTATAGGGGGACGTTAAGATTTGGACATGAAAAAAACATGTTTTCCAGAGTACCCTCTGCTAAGCCGCACAGACAAAGAGAGTGGTCCAGTATGCGCAGTTTAGCAAGAAACACTGGGGAGCAAACATGTTCTAGTCGCAAGCGAATTGTTACAGAAGTAATTAATTTACTAAAAGATTTGTATTTGGAAAAGCAAGGCTTTGATGGGATATTAGGCTGGATACTGGCATAGAATCTCCCTTTCACAGTTTTGGTTTGTTGCCACAAATTATCCCAAGTTTCCATTAAGTGAGGTTTGGCCATAGAGCACAGATCGCGAGCTGGGATGTTAGAGTGACATGGGTCGCCTATCGAAATAGCTTGTTTAGCATAATAATCAGCCGCTTCATTACCCAGAATACCCACGTGGCCTGGAATCCAGGCTAGGACAGTTTCAATACCCTCTCTTTGTAACTTAAATAATGTTTCTTTTATATTAAGAATAATTGAGGAGTGGCGTTTACAGTGGAAGGGAAGTTTCTTTAAATCCTCCAGACAACTACGGGAGTCACTGAGGATCAAAGTCTTACGAAAATGAGATTGATTAGAATCTATATACTTAACTGCTTCTAAAATGGCTAATGATTCACCTGTAAAAATTGAACATTCTGAAGGACATTTAAAACTCAAAACTACACTGTACTTTGGTATATAAACGGACGCACCAATAAGGGACGAGTCCGTTTTTGATGCATCTGTGAATATCAGAACCCAGTTCGCCCATTCATTCCTCACAAGCATGTTAAATTTCCGGTTAGCATCTAAGGTATTCTTGTCGATGCCAAAGTTTAAAATAATATTACGATTAAAAATTAAAGCATCATAACTGATTGTAAAAAGAGGGTGGTTTTCTAAGCAGAGAACAGAGAAATGAGAGGAATTATATCTATTATAACTATTTACTAATAGAGGATGGGATTTGTTTGACCAATAAGGCGACGAGTTAATGGAGCGAGAAAGGAGACTTAAGGGTTTTAAAATGGGATGAGAGGGGAACTGAACAGCTTTGGAGAAAAATCTATCAGCAAGAAACTGTCTACGGATGTTTAAAAGAGGTTCCACGCACTCCACTTGGAGGGCATTAATAGCAGAAGATTTCATAGCCCCAGTAATTATACGCAGGCACTTAGACTGGATTTTGTCAAGTTTACCAAGAGCCAGCTTACTGCAAGGCTCCAAAATGAAACAGCCGTAATCAAAGTGGCTACGAATAATTGCATTGTAGAGAATTTTTTGGACGAAAGGATGAGAGCCCCAACGAACTCCCGATAAAGCTCTAAGGACATTGGTGTTTTTCTCACACTTAGAATATATATACGGTAAATGAGGAATACCAGTCATGTTGGAATCAAGGATGACTCCCAAAAAATTTGCCTCTTAAATAAAATTGGTTCACCATCTACAGATAGAATGGGGAATATTCCGTTTTCGACTAAAAATAACTGCATAGGATTTAGGAATAGACAGACTTAGACCGTGATCTTGGAGCCAATCATTTAGATAACCTAGGGCGGTAGTTACTTGAGAACATCCATTAAACAGGGAGGAGCAAGTTGTATACAAGGCTATATCATCTGAATATTGTAGGATTTTGCAGAAGCTATAGACAGATAAGTCAAGATCAGCAGTATAGAGATTGTATAGGAGGGGACTTAGGACTGAGCCTTGAGGGAGACCCTTCCAAACGAGACGGGAAGAAAGAAGAGAGCCCTGATAGCGGGCACGGATAGAACGACATGTAAGTAAATTAAAGATAATGTTAATCAGCCTCATAGGGATATTCAGTGTGAGCATTTTCTGCCTAAGTATTGGAATCTGAACATTATCATAAGCAGACGAGATGTCAAGGAAGACCCCAATAACATGCTTATTACAAGAAAATGCAAGTCTTATATCAGTTGATAGGATGCCAAGACTATCCATAGTGCTCATACCACGTCTGAAACCAAATTGATTGTTTGAGAGCAGACCTCTATTCTCAAGGATCCACTCTAATCTATTTTTGATAAGATGCTCTACGATTTTGGTCATAACAGATGATAAGGCAATAGGCCGATATGATCATGAGTCACTAGGGTCTTTATTGGGTTTTAAAACTGG